AAAGGGTTATTGAAATCTCTTAAAATTATTAAACCTGTGGAAAGTGGCACTGTACATTTCATTTGGAGCATATATATTGACAATATCATATTTGTTATCATTTTCCTTGTATGTAATATGTAAAAATCTACCATCTAATCCATTTATACATTCAATGCTTGTTTTAATATTATTTCTTATCAAAAATGCAACCCCTTTGGGTGACATGTCTACACCGTTCCATAAATGTTTATAATTTTCCATAAAATCATTTTCCCAGTGAGTTTCTTGCAAAGCCACAATATCATATTTTCTATCTTCAAATAAACTAAATACCATTTTCATGGTAATGAAATGAATCACAAAAGTTATACCAAATCTTGTCTTGAAAAAAAAAAACAATTCAAAGTTTACAATTTGATGACCTAATCAACGGACCAAGTTCATGCAGTGTCAAACCTTGTTGCGACGTGTATATATATTTTCATTGATCTCATGGATACATGTATATATGTGGCGCTTTTCCAGAACAAGAGGCCCAAGGGCCTTAATGGTCACCTGAGTATAATACAACAATTTAGAAGTTAAATACACTGATAGATGAAGCTTTGTTGCCCTAAAGCAAGAGAAGTAGGTAGATCAGGATCAACAAAATAATTAGTCTAGTATTCAGTATCAACTCATAAATTAAGTTCTAATCTGTCCCCACTTAACACTATCACCATGCAGACTATTAACAAACTATTAGTGCTTCTGTACTGTTTTTAAGCCCATATTAAGACCTCTAGCATTGACCTCTCTTATGGTCTTTGAAGAACTTTTAATAAGTTATTTTTGTCTCATTTTTATTTATCTATTACTTACAGGTCTACCTGATAATTAAAACTAAGAAAGTACTTTTTGAATTATATGATAAACATTCTTGCATAATTATCTTATTCTATTAACCTTTCAAATACATTATTTACAGTGATTAATTATCAAAGGTGAATGGAAAAGGGGAATAACTTCTCTCAGTAGAATACAAATTAATAGAGCCCTGCCCAGGACCAGAATGCTTAGACAAATGGTCCAGATGTTCAAAAATCTGGTAGAAATACGCTTACTTATATCATTTAAACTTTTACTCAGTTTGCTTCCGATATGCCAGAAGCAGAGAAGAATTTCACAGGTACAATGCATTTTCACTACAGATTCAACAAAGCCTTACCCTAACACCAGAACCCAAGACCAGGGGTCAAGAAATTTACAAATTTGGAAAGAGTTACCATCATCATCATAACTATGGACTTCAAAGAATTAACACTTTTCCACTATATTATCAAAAGCCCCCGCCCCCCCCCCCTCGTTATGCCAGAACCCCTGACCCTAGGACCAAAAGATTTAAAAATTCTGTTCGAAGCTCCCATTTTCATCATAGCTAAGCAATTTATTTATCAGCTCAACTCAGGAGCAGACAGGATTAATTATTGATTAATTAATAGAATTAATGCTTTTTCACTATATAATCAATAGAGCCCCCCCCTCCTCAAGAACCCCAAAAACTGAGGCCATATATTTAAAATTTTTGGATGAGGCATCCTTGCCTATCATAATCATGCACTTAGATTGTTTAAATAATCTCCAGTAGCAGAGAAGAAGATTTTCAAAGAATTAATGCATTTTCACTATATAATCAATAGAGCCCCACCCTAAAACCAGAACCCCTGACCCTGGGGTCATGGCTTTCACAATTCTGGAAGAGGCCCACCTCCTCATCATAACTATTTACTTAGTTTATCAACTTAATGCCCAGGGGCAGAGGAGAAGATTTTCAAAGAATTAATGCATTTTCACTATATAGTCGATAGAGCCCCACCCTAACACCAGAACCCCTGACCCTGGGGCCATGAAATTCACAATTTTGGAAGAGGTACTCTTGCTCATCATAACTATGTACTTAGTTACTTTATTAAATATCCTGGAGCAGAGAAGAAGATTTTCAAAGAATTAATACATTTTCACCATATAATCATTAGAGCCCCACCCTAACACCAGAACCCCTGACCCTGGGGCCATGAAATTCACAATTTTTGAAAAGGCATTTTTGCTCATCTAACAATGTACTTAGTTACTTTATTTAATACCCAGGAGCAGAAAAGAAGATTTTCAAAGAATTAATGCTTTTTCACTATATAATCTATAGAGCCCCACCCTAACACCAGAACCCCTGACCCTGGGGCTATGAATTTCACAATTTTGGAAGAAGCACTCTTGCTCATCATAACTATGTACTTAGTTACTTTATTTAATACCCAGGGGCAGAGAAGAAGATTTTCAAAAAATTAATGCATGTTCACTATATAATCAATAGAGCCCCGCCCTAACACAAGAACCCATGACCCTGGGGCCATGAAATTCACAATTTTGAAAGAGGCTCTCTTGCTCATCATAACTATATACTTAGTTACTTTATTTAATACCCAGGAGCAGAGAAGAAGATTTTCAAAGAAATAATGCACTTTCACTATATGATCTATATAGCCCCACCCTAGCACCAGAACCCCTGACCCTGGGGCTATGAATTTCACAATTTTGGTAGAGTCACTCTTGCTTATCATAACTATGTATTTAATTTGTTTCAATAATACCCAGGAGTAGAGAAGAAGATTTTCAAAGAAATAATGCACTTTCACTATATGATCTATAAAGCCCCACCCTAGCACCAGAACCCCTGACCCTGGGGCTATGAATTTCACAATTTTGGTAGAGTCACCCTTGTTTATCATAACTATGTATTTAATTTGTTTCAATAATACCCAGGAGTAGAGAAGAAGATTTTCAAAGAAATAATGCATTTTCACTATATGATCTATATAGCCCCGCCCTAGCACCAGAACCCCTGACCCTGGGGTCATGAATTTCACAATTTTGGTAGAGGGCTCAATGCTTATTACAATCATGCCAACAGTTTGACTGCTTGATGTCCAGGAGTAAAGAAGAAGATTTTTAAAGATAGCACTAATTTTGATGGTTTTAGCCCCACCCCTCAGGCCCCAGGGGGGCAGGGACCATGAAATTCACAAATTTTGTACCCCTTCACCCATTGATGCTATATGCCAAAATTGGTTGAAATTGGTTCAGTGGTTCAAGAGAAGAAGCTGAAAATGTTCAAAAGTTTACGACCGACGGACGACTGACGACGGACGACGGACGACGACGGACGAAAACAGATAGCAATAGGTCACCTGAGTGACTCAGGTGACCTAACAAACAGCAGTAGTGCGTGTGTGATATTACAGTGTACATCATACATGGTGCGTTTCTGCATTTTGAGATCACGTTTTCTTTTAATGCTGTATAAGAACATAGTACAATGATGCATTCTTCTACTTCTGCTGACTCCTCAACTGCTTCTAATATAAGTCATCCATCCTTAAGAAATAAAATAATAATTATCGTGCATATGTTTTATCAAAACATTGATAATAAAACATTTTTAAAATACCTGTAGGTCACCTGAGTTACCCATTTGACTTATTCAGACCTGCCTACCCTTTTCATTGCGAGGATGTAATTTCAATACTCATTTGGGTGGAATTTCAGAGGTAAAGGCGTAATCCTGTATGTTTTCCTAGTTTGATGTTTTGCAATGATTCTATTTTGTCTAAATAAACCATCATTGAACAAAGCAAGCATGGGTATTTCTTTTTCAAATCATTTATTGACAAAAAGTCCATGTGTTGTACAACTGGTATCCTAAATGCAGTTATATCAAACTTATATAACGTACATGCCTAATGAACTTTTGGAAAATTTCTAGCAAATCACATAATTCAGAGTTTCATTTCAATGTTAATACAAATTCGACATTATTGCACTATTTCGTTTTCCTTACATTTAATTGTCTCTATGTTCTAAGCAATGTAAGAATAAACTGAATTGAAATTAAACTGACTTTACTTATTGCACAAATCATTCGAAGTTTTTTCCCCTAATCTTTGGCATGCCACCCGTTTAAAAAGGCACAACCACAAGGTATATTAAGTATGTTGTTTGTATCGTATCATATCGTGAAGAACTGAAACCCTCTATTAATTACAATGTAGTATTATTTACCTTCTCGGTTTCATTTAGGAAAGCCTCTACTTTAACTCCCAAGTTAGCCTTTCATTAAGGTGTCTAGGAATATTTAAAAGCTTGAAATTAAATTTCATGGCGTAACAGCGTAATTGTGTGGTAAAAAGCGGAAGAAATACGCCAAAAGCGGAATGGTAGGCAGGTCTGCCTATTGCATTACTTTAATTCATCATCTTTGTGTGTCAGAATTCAAGCCTACCTTGCAATTTAACAGGTACATGTTCTCTGAGTTTGTTTACACGCGGGTACACAGGAACTTCAGCTAATTTTAGTATGTGGGTTATATACTGTGGTATCCCTGGGCATAAATATATATCCTTGGGTACTAAATTGACAAAAATGCTATTTTCTCACAGCTCTATTTTTTCCCATTAACCTCTCAGAACTCAAATCATTTTCATTTGAAAACTATTCCCTTTGTTCATGTATGCGCACAAAAGCATTTTATTTTATTTTTTTTTTAATATTTTAAAAAAGTAATTAGATGCAAAATTATTTTCTATCTAAATCTCAACGCCAATTTTAAAAATGGTGATAATTGTATTCAAATATATATGCATGTACATAATTTTTAAGATTCGATCAAAAGAACCGCTAGAGATTGAAGATAAACAAAACAAAATTTTCAGCTGAACTTTAAGCATTTTTTTTTAATTTGCTAGCATTGGTATTTTAACCTTTATTTTTACACATGTTCTTTATTACACTGGTTACACTGTTACACTGTTACACTGGCTTTCTTATTACATGTGTAATCATTCCAGTGCTTTATTTATGTATGATATATAAGTAACCAAACACTATTGTACTTAAAGGAAATTCAGATTCCTTATAGAAGATATTAGAAGTTCAACATGAAGTACATTTTTGTGTTGAAATATTTTAAACCCTTTTTTTTCTAGAGGATCGACAAAGAGGCCGATTTGCAGGATTTTCTTTGTTTATATCAGAGTCTGGAAAAAGAGAGAACCACTCACTTTGTTACAAAGACGGACCAGAATTACCTCCATTGAATTTTACGACAACTTGTACCGGATACGGACGTTATGTCATCTTTTACAATGAACGATTAGATGGAGTTGATTATCCTGATGGATACGAAATCCACACACTTACTGAGTTATGCGAAGTGATAGTAAAAGGTTTCATGTAACTTACACTTTGAATATTTTTTCCTACTACTTATTGGTATTGCACATTGTTATGAAATTGCACTGATGATCTTTCTATACTTTTGTTGCAGATCATTTTTTTAATCCCTTTCAATATGTTTTCATGTAATAAAGATATTCTTGTAGAGATATGAATTAGTTTAACATCTAAATGCACGATTTTCCCTATTTCTGTTTAGCAATAATTCGTTGTTTTCGCACATATTTTCTATGGGTTAATGATAGCCTTTAATGAAATTGAAATAATCAAACTTAACAATTACATCTTTATGCGGTATTATTTTCTCAATGTCAAACAATATTTCTTATTATTGAAAAAAAGGGTCTTTGATGTTTGTTTGAAAACTGAACAACAACAGTGATAGTTCTAGATCTGGGACCCATTTTACAAAAGAACTTACAACTAAGATCAACATATAATTCCACCTATTTCTTTCTATGGGACATTAATTTAAATATGTTTTTTTTAATAGTTTTCCAAAAAAAAAAATAAAAAAAATTAAAAAAAATAAAAAGATACGTTCATGTCATCGATTTTAAATAGAATAATTAATTTTGAAAAAATATACAATCCACTAAAGTATTTGGTCTTAGTCGTAAGTTCTTTTTGTGAAACGGGTCCCTGGACTTAGGTCCTAAATATCCTAAATATTCTTATTTAATGCGACGCAAATATACTTATAAAAATATTGTATGATACGATGATGATAACGAACAATAATCAATCTCAAAAGCCCATTGAAACAACACAGATTTGGAGCAGAGTGAATAGAGACCTCTATAAATATAAGAGGTTGGGCCAGGTGCCATGATGTAGTATTGTTATTTTTATGACCAAAAAGCCAAAATCTGTGATTTAATTACATAGTTAATAAGTAAAGGTTTTGTTTTAATCAGGTTGTAATAAATCCTCATATGGAAGAAATTGTGACAGAAAATGTTCCGTCAACTGTGAGGATCAAAGATGTAACATCGTAAATGGAACATGCATAAGATGCACGAAAGGGTGGAAAGGAAGCTCATGTGAAAATAGCAAGAACATTATCTTATCTGTTTTCGGTCTAGTTTTAGCGTTAATTAATGATGACTTAATGCAATTTAAAATAGTTAAGGCGTAATCATAATTTACAACATGAAGCCTTTTTTTGGTTGATATCGAGCTGCATTTCTTTTAACAGAGTGTCCAAAAGGATGGTATGGGCTAGGATGTAAACAACAATGTTCTGGCCATTGTATAAATAACGAAGTCTGTAATCACGCGACCGGTCGTTGTGATAATGGATGTGCTGATGGATGGATAGGAATAACATGTGAAGAATGTAAATATTACACACCTATTTGATCAAATATAATCTTTCATTACATAACTAAACCAAAACTAGCTTGAAAAATGTAATAAAGATGTTTGTTAAAGATTTTAAGTATTTTTTTTAAAATTCCAGTAACACAAAAGCCTCTGCTTTTTAATTTAAGTTAAAATACATAAATTATATTTTAATAAAAGGTTAAAAAAATAAATCATCAAAATCCAAAGTATAAGTTGCCTTATTGTTTTGAAAGTCCCCAGTAGTGTTACTACAAAACATACTAAAACTTCCTGTATATGGTCATTGTTAACAGCATGTAAAGATGGAAGCTATGGACCAGGTTGTATATATAACTGCAGCGGTCACTGTTTTGATGATGTCTACTGTAACAAACAAACTGGACACTGTGGCACAGGGTGTAAACCAGGATATACAGGGAGTTTATGTAAAACAGGTATATTACAGGAAAACCAAAGCAAGAAACAGCAATTAATTTCTAAAAATATCAAAATTTAGAAATTGACGCAATAAAGTAAAACAGTTTGACTGTTCTCTCAAATATCCATAGAATGCACCATAGGATACTTCGGAAACCAATGCAAGGAACATTGCAGCCATAACTGTTTGAATGATGAGATATGTAACCACATTGACGGAGTATGTACAAATGGGTGCAAGGACGGATATATCGGGGAAAGATGTAATAAATGTAAGACAAAACTGTGACAATTTCAGTCTATATTGTCCTTTTTCTAGATTAAAGCAGAATAAGAAAATACAACAGACGGTTGTTTTGTCTAATAATCAGCGGACTTTATCTTTGAGATTTATACTTGGGTCAAAATAAAGTCTCAAAAGTAATCCCTAGGACAGAACAAATCTAAGGTAGTACAAACCACCTTTGAAATCAATTTTGACCCATTTCGTCTTAAACATGCCAGTAAAATATCACGTTAATGTCAACTATCAATTATCTTTGGAAGAATTAGAAATACAAGGTATGACATGTATTTACCTTATTCTGTAAAAACAAAATTGAGACATCTTATATATTGGACATTCTCAAGCCTACGTTTAGAATGAGTTTGTGTCATCTACGAGGGTTGTTAGGAAAGTTCGCGGACACATTGATTTGTGTACTTTGAAGAATCCAAAAAATGTCTCTGAAATGTAAAGGTTTGAAAAACTAACTCGCTCCGTGAAGCATGTTTTGTCTAAATAATTTAGCTGTATATTTTTAAAGATCATCGGAAAACACCAAATCTTTATATTTGTAAAATACGTATCTTTTCTATCCGCAGAGTTTTACTGATTTCATACAAATAGCGCGATCACAATAGAACCTGTTCGCGAACTTTTCTAACAACCCTCGTACATACAGATTAACCGGTTGCCTTTTTTAAATAAAGGGCAACTTGCTTTGTAGAAGAATTGATTTTTTTAAAATCTCATAAATATCAGAAACCTATCGTCCAATGATCCTCCTTTTCATACATTTTAATCTTTGTTCCATTTCAATCATTCTCTCGATTTTTTGCTAAATTTAAATGATGCTTTCCTTTAAGGTGGTATGGGACACCGAACGAAACTTTTCCTACATATTTATTTACCCAAATTAGGAGAATTTGAAATACCCCTACCTTCAGTGCGTTAAATTGTAATTTTGAATAATTTTTTATTATCTTAATGAGAAATACAAAAATGATTTTTTTTTCTTACATAATAATTCTTTCTTTAAAAGCATGAAAATCTAGACAGGAGTTTACTAATATAAAGTGTATATAAAAACAAAAATAACATGTCTTAGTATTTTTTTTAATTTTCCGCAAAAAATAAGCGTAAAAACTTGGAATACTTGATTTCTTGAAAACAGACGGATAACATTTCATGAAAGTCTACATTTAGAATGTATCTTTATATGTTAGCAAAGTGAAATAAACAAATTGAAAATATAGATATAAATGAAAAATATAAAATGCATTTAAAAATTTTTGAATTAACAGATCCGAACGGAAGAGTTATTCTTCTTTATTTTCCAAGGGTTAAAAAAAACCTAGGTGCTATTTCAGAAATGATGGGCATTTTTTCCCAAACATAAAAATAATCGCACTTTGTTGCAGTGGTACTTTTCAACTTTGAACTGTTTTGAAAACAATACATGGACAATCGCTTTCCAGGACGTGTCTTGTTCAGAGAGTTTTGCGACTATATACAACAGCTAGCTGATTTGTGACCAAACAGTTACTTCTTGAATTAAATAACAAAGAACACCAGCTCTGGTTAACGTGATAATTGATTGGTCATAATTCCACAATGTGAAGTAATCGCACTTATCCATGCCTCACCACACACAAGATGCTGTACAGTTACATGTACTCAAACAATTGAAATACAGCTTTTGCTTAAAAGTGTTCAAATGCAGGGGTATGCTTTTCAAATGTCCGTAGAACAATTATAAGTCAATTTACATACTTTCATTTTTTTTTTTTGGTCTATTTTTAAAGAAAATGTCGACTTGTGAGAATTTGCATTGAAATGGTTCCAGAGTATTCTTTTAAAGGGTGTATCTACAAATTTTGACCCAATAATAAGACTCATGAAAATCAAAACAATACTGCAAACGGAAATACGTCATAAGGTGGAGGTATCCCATACTACCTTAAGACAAAAGGAGAAAATTTACATGTGAATTTGCACATTTTACATCATAGACCACTCAGATACACTGGTATCAATATATCTTACTGATTCAAAGAATCGAAAAGGTAACCTTTACAAGCAGCTTCGCATTTTTTTTTTTTTTTGTAATTTATCAATTGATAATCTTTATACAATGAACATTCTAATTTTGTATGTCTGATTTTATCCTTTTCTAACAGGTGTCTGATAATCTATATTGCAGTCTATAAATAGATAAATGTTTATTATATTGAAGTATTTTGTAGCATTTTAAATTCCATTTTAGCCTGTCAGCACGGATATTTTGGAAAAAATTGTTCTGGTGTTTGCTCAAAGAGATGCATCGGTACATGTAAATTTGCAGACGGATCTTGTAACTGTGCCCCTGGTTGGAGGAATTCAAGCTGCAGTAAAGGTATATTGTAAGCTACTATAATACGGAGATTGCAAAGATCGTGACTGCTTTTTTTCACTTTCAGGAATTGTTAAATACTTGAGAAATAATTCCCGCGTAGGAGAAATTTTTGGAAAATATACCCCAATAGTCGAGAGATTTTGTTGGCAAAGAAAAAAAAACGATCCCGGAAGGGGTTTTCATTGGCCATCAAAATATCGAGACCGAGGGGTATATTCTCCAACAATTCGGCCGACGAGGGATGTTAAACCTCTTTATAGAGAAAATCAGAAGTTAGATTTTGACGTAATCAAAAGTGTCTTATGACGTCACAATAAATGCTTATCCTCGTTTATTTGTATCACAACTTTAGATAAAATGCAATGTATTCAGGACCTAAAGTATTTTTTCCCAGTCAATTATCGTCACAATCAAAAGATTCCTCTATCATTTTCCTAGTGACCGCAGTCAAAATGAAAGGAAACCGGTAAAAATTAATTGATAATTTGTTGATGACGTTTGTGATTTGTTGGAGAATAATGCCCGCGACATCGGTTTGATGTTTGCGATAACCGAAGTAGAATTGATAATTATCAGACAAGATTTTTTTGAACTTTGTATTATCGTTTACTAATGTGAAAGAATCATTATAATCACATATCTTGTTTAATTTTAAAAATATTTCCATAATAATAATGTTAAAAATTTGTTACCAATACTGCAGGTTTAAATTTGCTACCACGGACATGTTTATTTTTTTTAAATAGAGACATAGATATATTTCATTCATATAATAAACCTTATTTAAATCAAAGTCCTATTCAAAGGTATGCTTTTAATGCATATCATGATCATATGCTAATTTTTTGCAATTAATTTTGGCTAGTAAGAGTTTTTGTTAACTAACATGTATGTTAGCTGGTGAACATGCAGTGACTTAACTGCTTAATATTTATGTTTTTACGACTATGCCGATTTATGAAACAGAAAATGGTATCTGAACTGCATGAATTAGAACTGCTGAGAACACTACATCATATACTGTTCAATTATTTCTTCTGGGAGGGGGGATTTTGTGGTTTTCATGGTATGAAAACACCAACAAATTCATATCTCCCATGAAATGTAAACTTTCGTAACGACGTACTTTTGATCTTGCTATGTTGCAACACGAAATGTAATAACAAAGCAAAATGTAATAAACTGGAATGATTGCATTTTGCGTTATTACATTTTGCATCGAGATCAAGGCAAAATGTAATAATCAAAAATATATATTGTTGATTATTACATTTTGCCTTATCAACGAAGAATGTAATAACGCAAAATGTAATAAAAATATATATTGTTATTATATTTTGCGTTATTACATTCTGCGTTGATAAGACAAAATGTAATAATCCCAGTTTATTACATCTTGCGCTGTTATTACATCTCGCGTTGTAAAAATGCTAGCCTCCGTTTATCTCAACAAATCGTAGAAGGTGTCTGTTAACTTACTCAAATATATAATGATAGAATGTCTTCCTGGAACATTTGGAGTAAATTGTCAACATCGATGTAGTGGACATTGTATTCAGAATGACAGCTGCAGTAGATTTGACGGTAGCTGTCCAAAAGGGTGTAAAAGCCCATACAGTGGATTGGCATGTGAATATAATGGTGAGTAACACAGGGTCATTCTTAAATTTCTTTTTTCTTGAATTATTTTAGAAATAAAAATATATTAAAATATCACAGCGTTGTTGGGGGAGGGGGATGATATCTGAAGCTATTCAAATTGCAAGGAAAACAGCAATGCACTCAGAAAGTTATCTATAAAAGTAAAAAATACTTTGAGTTTATTGACTTTTTATTATACTTTTTGGAAATGGTTATACCTCTTAAACACTGTTACAGTAATTTTAACTTGTAGAGTTTGAATGTATTGAATCTTGTCATTGTATTTATTGTTGACTTTTGATGCCAAAAAAGCGTTATATGATTGAAAATTTAATGATGTTTTCTGGACAGCTTAATTTTCATAATTCAATGAAAAGGTATTTTAAATTGCATTTGTTATAAATCATAATAATACAAATCAGTATTTTGTGTCGTATACCACTTTACGGTTTCTTAATCAAAAGATAGCAATTTTTTTCGTATGAACACTTTCAGCAATCTCGGCTTCTGATGCTGTGTGCAGTAACAAGAATCACAGTGCCATTACAATAGGCTTTGGTGTCTCACTTTCTGTGAATTTGATATTTCTTGCTGGAATTGTATTTTTATTCAGGTAAAGTAAACCATTTCTTTCAAATAGTAAGAAAGACAAACGATAAACAACAGACATATTACTCTTATTTCCAAAGAATTGTTAAAATAATAATTAAAAAATATTCAGAAAATTCCATCTTACTATTAATTATTCCTGATTTTTTGGTAAAGTTTACTTGAACGTTCTTTCTTGTAGGAGACAGATGTTACAAAATTTCAGAACAAGTAATAATTCAAGACCTGTTGGAAAATTTTCTCAAGACACCCAAGTTATTGAAGAAGTGATGGAGAATAAAAACAACTATCAGCAATTAATGGCCTCTACAGATAACAATGAATATCAAGTCATACACACGTCAGACAAAAATCCATCAGAACCAGGAAACACATACCAAAACCTTGCATTGAGTACTCTATAGGGACTTACAATAGGCATGTGTTCTACCCAATCCATTAAATGCTTTAAAGCTGAGGATTAATTTAACATGTCAAAGCATTAAAAATGAAGCTGTTACGATATTTCTTTCGCATGAACATTGGAAATTTTACCATGCTCAAGTATATCTGTGTCAAAATTCTATACAAAATTCTATTTTAATTCATATATCAAATTTCAGCGTTCTACCGTGCTAAAATTGATATTTATGTACGGACATTTAGAAATTGCAAAACCCAATGTATTTTGATATCTAGATTGCAAAACTATTGTTACCTGGTGAGAAAAAAATTTATGTAGGTTGATTATATGAGTTTTTTATGCGTCTTATCTACAACTTTTGAGGGGTTTACCTACGATTGCATTCACGATGAAAACAACGTTTTAACGTTTAAACTAATTCTAGTGGTCTTTTGGTCTAATAGTCAAATTGCACTAGTACTGTTGTGAGGAGCAGAAAATCCACAAGATCAGTATTTCGCTTTTCAGTAGGAGAAAGGGTACACCGGAAGTAGAACATCTTTCGTCACTAGCTCTTAAGAATATATGAAATATGCTTCTTGTCATTGCTGTGATTGATTGATTAATTGTACATATATGTTGTTTTACGTCCCAATCGAGAAGTTTTCATTCATTTAGAGACGTCAACGTATACCGGTGAAGGGCTTCAAATTTAGACTTTGACTCGGCACTCAGGGCCAGTGAGCAGTGAGGGAAAGCCTGTCGTGACACTGGGCCTCGAATTTTAAGGTTTCGTTCGAAGGAACCGCAACTTTCACTTTAAAGTGTCAAGCGCATGGCGAAGGAACAGTTGCTACCCATTTTTTATCGACTTAGTCGACTTAGGTCAATCGCGGCCGAGATTCGAACTCACGACCTCCCGATCATGGAGCGAGCGCTCTACCGACTGACCTACCGTGGACGGTGCAATGGAAATGAATCGTTTGCATAAAAGCCAAATGTTATAGACAAATTGGCACAAAACTACAGATTACATGCGTTTAGTGTAGGCAGATATAATCTATGGCTATTAAAATCACATAAATCAAAACTTTCACATGTAACTTCACATTTACGCAACGGGCGTGCAAAAAGGAGAAAGAGATATTTTTTTTAATATCCCAAAAGGGTCACCGTAAAACAGTCTAAAAAACAAGTCGTCACAATCAAAGCCTTCATTGCGATTTGATAAATTGGGAGAATCAGATAAAAAAGCAAAAGGAAGAAATATTTAATGGCTTTGTTTTTACAGACTCGTGTAATTTTAGTACTCTTTTCAAAATGACGGATTGAATATCAGGAAAAATAAGATAAGTGGTATATATCACCCAATCGATGCTGCATTTCGTAAATCGATGTCAACAAATCGAAATTAATTTTTCTTAGTAGGACAAACATGTTCATATGAGACATGTACCTCTTTCAATGTTTTAGCAAGTATTGCCAAATTCAAAATTCCTAACCGAGGAAGAATAGATATCATTTGACTATTGTTATATTTATTTAGCTGCACGGGTAGCACTTGCTATGGGTCAGGTAACCTATCTCTCTCTATCCCCTCTCTCAGTGTAAAATGTTTATGAATCTTTTCAACCAAAATATAACCAACCAGTATCTTGAACCAAAATCTGTCATGAATCTGATGATAATATGGCAAGATGTAAACAAGGATATAAATATCATGGAATGTTATTTAAAGGAGTATGTTTTTTTTTATATGAATGAAGCGCTTTGTCCGACAAAATTCATAAACATATCAATTTAGATAAGAATAAGTATTGTATTAATGTAATACCAACCTTAATTATAAAATTTGAAGGGAAGATAAGGATAGATAAAAGAGTTTAAAAGAGATTATTTTGTTACCAAAAAAAAAGAACGACATCTTCTGAGGCATATTCAGATTTTCAACATTGTTTCCCTCCTTTATTCACACAAAAATGTGTGACCCCGCATTGCAACCCAATCATTGGCCTAACAGGTTTTAGTTGTTACCGAAATTGAACCGCTGAACATGAATTTTTAATTTATAGTATTAATGAATATATCATTTTTTTTTTTAAATTTAATATAAATAAAGCTAACATGGCTTTTACGTTAGGGGAAGAAAAAAAAATTTATTTGTGTATTTTATAAATTTGATCCCGATTTTAGCCATAATCTAATCTAGAGTATTTATATCAAATAATTTTAAAAAATGATTGAGAAACATATATGTCTCCCACGTACTAATATTAAAAAGTGAACTTTTTCGGACAACAACATATGATTCGTTGGACCTGGAGGGGAAATGTTGCCCCTGAGGCCTCCGGCAACATTTTCACATTCAGTTCGAACAAATCACATGTTCCTGTCATACCCAGTCAATAACTGTATAATGTTTAGTTTGAATCTTGAAAAAAATAAGGGTCGAATAATCCTTGAGGGGAACCAGTTACCAAGTTTAATTTCTCTCAAGGAAAAGGTTCTCAAATTATTGAACAAACAATATTTTCCAATACCTAGAGTGGGTTTACCATGACGTTTGACCCCCTGATGTAATAGCCTACACCGCTAATCTCCTCAAGAGAAACTTGTCTACCAAGTTTGATATAAGTCAAGAAAAGGATTCTTATGAAATTGAGCGGTAAATATCTTTCTATGTCCAGTTTGACTTTAGACAGGGTGACCGAAAAATCATTAGGGGTCATTTACTCTTTAATGAATACCAAAGTACATATATAAGTTTTATGGTTTTAAAGATATTGAATGGACAAGATTTCCTGCCTATTATAGTTTGACCTTGTGACTTCAAAATCAACAAGCATTCTGAGAGTATTGCATTAGCAATACTAGTTCCCTACCGGCAAGTGTAATCTGGTTCCGGTTGAAATTTTTTTTTTTATATAATTTATTGTATTTTCAATGGTTTCTTTTTACAAAAAAAAAATTGAGAGAGAGATAGAGAGAGGGGAGAGAGAGAGAGGATTATGAAAATAAGTCATTCAAAGGTCTCCAGATTTCATCAAAAGATTCTCTTTCATTATTTTTATAAGATATATATTTTTGTAATTAATACATTGTCTTAATAGAGGATATCAACCCACCTAAGGAAATGTTTCTGTTTGTACATTTGTACAGATAAATGTAATATTTGATTTGTAGAGCGATAATATTTTTAAGCTTGTCAGTTTTCTTTACAGAGCCTAGTAAAAATTCCTTTTTTGAGAAGGTTATAGTAGAGTGGATTCTATCAAAGCAGTTCTTTGCAAAATTCTCTAAAAGAGTCTGAACATGTTCACATTCCCACAACAAGTGTTCAATTGTTTCAGTTTCTGTTTTACAAAGAGTACATACATTACTGTCAATTTTATTAATTTTATGCAGGAAGGAATTTGTTGCTAGTATTTTATGATTTATTCTAAATTGGAACCACTGAAGTTTTGTGTTTTTTGTAATTTTGAATGGGAGTAAGAAGATTTTCTCCCATTCACCATTGCTCAAGTCAAAGACTCTATTCCAAGAGATTTTACCCAAAGGTTCGATTATTTGTTTGATTAATATTTCATAAAAATCATGGGATTTTTTGGCTTTCAGCAGAGAATTAACATTCTCTGGAATATATGGATAAGTTACCTTTAATAAATTATTAGGATCTCTGTTTATCTTTCTCAGCCATTCTAATATTGCTGCTTTTATGCCATTATATTCAAGAAAATGTGTTTTTATCCCGTATTTCGCGTGCAGGTCATTCAAACTCATAAATGACCCATCTTCATAAAGTATGTCACTAATACATGAAATATTGCCTGAAAACCATCTTCTATAGAAAAATGGCCTTTTATTAATAATTAAATGTTTAGAAATAATGGTTCTAAAGAAAGAAGTGTGTCATTTTGTAAGGATTTTTCACAAAAGTTTAACCATGCTTACAACACACCCTCCGAAATATATTTTTAAATCATTCACTTTTTTGACAACATACTCTTGCCCACAGTATACAACTTTTTTAATGTCAACATCCAAAAAAGAATCCAACCCATTGTCCTGTATTAACAATTTTTTCATCCATACTAGTTTTAAGGACATAATGAACTCTCTTACACTGATCATCTTGAAGCCCCCTTCCTTATAATTCATTATACAAATTTTCCTTTTCAGTCTTGAATTATTACTACCCATTACAAATGTTTAGAAAATCTTTTCTAATTCTTTTATTTGTATTTCAGAGGGATTTGGAAGAGATGCAAAAATATGATTTAAGGTCGGTAGTAAAAGGGTTTTTAAAACTATCAAGCGACCAAGAGGAGTTAAATTTCTCTTGTTCCAGTGTTGTATTAATTTTTTTATATTACCGATTTTAGATGCATAATTAAGCATAAGTATATTTTGAAGATTTGTATCAAATTCAATGCCTAATAATTTAAAAGTTGCTTTTCCCCACTCTAATATATTATCTGTACATAGAGTATCATTGCTACCTTTTTTTGACCCAATCCAAACTACTTGAGTTTTACTATAATTTATATGCAAACCTGATATGTCCGCAAATTTTTTAAGAGTAACAAGACCAGACTAAAGTGATTTTTCACTTCCATCTAATATTAGAGAAGTATCATCTGCCAACATAGTTAACTTTTTTTCAGTATTCATAAACTGAATCCCTTTTATATCTATATTGTTTCTTGTGCTGATTGCAAGGATTTCTGCACAAATGAGGAATAAATATGGAGACAAAGGGTCTACTTGACGGCAGCCTCTGTGTAAGTTAAAAGACTGCGATAGATTTCCTCCTTGATTAACAGCAGCTGTAATATTTGTATAAAAAATATCAACCCATTTTCTAATGGAATTACTAAAATTAAAAAAATTGAGGGATTTCTGTAGAAAAGACCAAGACAAGGAATCAAAAGCTTTTTCAAAATCTACCAGGAGTAAAAGTCCTGGTATATGTTCTTCCTCTGTAAATTGCATGATATCATATATTAGTCTTATATTTTCAGA